CCCACACACTCCTCCTCGCACCCACAGAAGTACCATTAGAAGGGTGTCATTATCTCCCATACATGGGGCGATTTACACTTCAGCCCCTTTTATCTAGCCAATTAGAGCTGGCCGGGGCCCATGGCACTGCATCAGAGTGTTTATAATGGGAATGGCACCTGCAGAAAGGCCATCCAGCAGGCCACCAGTGCAACACCAGTTAAACCAAAGCTGTAGATCAGATATGCAGCAAACACTGTATTCCCTTTTCTCTTGAATTTTATAATGAAGATATAAAGAGTAAATAAACACAGCTGGGAGGTTTAAGAGGCCTAATGTCTTTGTAGAAAGTAATCATGTTCAAGTTGACTCTTGAATGACTGCAGGCAGTAAAGTTTTATACAGGGAAGCTCATGTTCTGTTTCAAAAACATGTCTGGCGAGACATCTGGTTTTCATAATGCCCAACTTATACTTATATTAACTTAGATGCAGAGATGAGCAGCAGCTGACCTAATTATAGTAGAATTTGGAGCTTTCCCGAACTTAAGTTGTTGTGAGGGACATGCCCAAGTCTTCTTCATTAATCTCAGTAAGTAACGCTGCTGACATCTGTCTCAGCAGTGACTCTCAGAAAACAGCAGTGATTCCTGCAGCTGTCTGCCAAAGATTTTAGACTCACTCAGGAAGGGAGCCCCTTTTTAACCCACCCCCTCTCCCAATTACACTAGAATTACCAACTTGACCTGCAAAACGGCGGATCAGCGAAATCTCTTGTGCACAAACACGGAAAGATTTGGAACACTGATGGGTTTAACTATCACATAGCAAGAACATTATACAGAGAGGGGAGAATGGAGAGACCAGATGTAAAAAAAATAAATAAATCGGAATGTCGGAATGGGTGAGCTTGTACTCAGTGAGGGACGCCAAAATGTAGTTGTGGTAAACTGTTGGAACCAAAGAAACCCTGCACCAAATACTAATATTATGCAACAACTTAGGACATACAGAAAATAGAGCTCTCTGCTGGTGCAGTATGTGATGTACCATGTACCAACCTAGAGTTGCAAGCTTTAAATAAATCAATTTAAATGTAGCATGAGTAGTTCCTCCCTTCTCACATAGCCAAGCCCCCCATTTATAGCAAGAAGCTCCCTGTGTCAACCTCTCCTGTTAATTCAATCTCCTCATCAGCAGCCCCATCACTAAACACCACACATGCATGGCCACTGGCAAAGGCACACAACCCACGCACTCCACTGCACTCTTGTCTCTTCTAATGAGGTCAATTAGCTGTGAGTATATGTAAGTGGTAGCAGTGAAGAGGTCAGACATTGTCCAAAGTGGGACGCAGACAATAAAAGGTTTGCATTACGATAGTTAGGAAAGCTTAAGGGAGTAGTGTGGATTAACATGAAACTGTTTGCTGGAATGTGTAACGGGTATGATCTGATTTCGGGAAATGGCACGGGCGTTCTTCTGCAAATCAGAAGGCTGGTAAAGGGCTTGTCTGAGGTGAGTTTTTATAATGAGGCATGTCACTAATGTCACAGCTGGGTCAACAGGTTAAGCGCCGATTGTCATGCAATGGTTCACACAAATTTAAGAAATTAACTGATTCATTATTCATGTAGGATCATGTCATCTTCTGCATTAGAGCAAGTTTCCCATGGCCTCTGTGTTTTTCCTTGATCTGTAATTATACCTCCACCCTGTATCACAAAAGCAGTTGGAGGACATCATGTCATGCTTGAAGGCAAGGTGTTGCTTCAATAAGCCTGGTCTTTGTTCTGTACAGTGATTACAGTATGATTAGTCTAATCTTAGCATGTCATAAACAGACCAGTTATTGACTCTGCAAATCACACCCTACATAATACAGGCTTATACAGCAATATTGAAGTATCAGAGGTGAATGTAAGTGCAGTAATTATGCAGCACTATCTTGCCCTGCAGCCTCTACGAAGACAACTCATTTGCCTCTTCATTTGAAACTCTATTCTTGGCGCCAAATAAAACATAATAAAAAGTGAAAAGCTCTATGTGCCAGTTTCCCCATGGGCTCAACTTAGAGTTAGATATTGATCAGAGATGAATATCTGTTATGTTTTCTGCAGCTTCAGACGGATAAATAGCATCATACGATAGTATCAACAAACACGCCCGTTGTTCTCAAGAGCTGCAGGCAAACAAGAGCAGACACAACCCTTCGTTTCAACTCAGAAGTGAGTTTATTTCCAAAGAACTGACGCAGGAAAAAGACCATCACAATAGTGTCTTCTGATGAACAGTAATATTCTTTGAAATGACTTTAACCAGCCCTTTTGCATTGATGTTGCAGTGTGCACTACAAGACTCTGATTGATATACAGTTGACTGAACTGAAGAGATTTTAAAAACAGGAATAATTCAGTTATAATTCTGATTGTGTATCCCCCCGCTCTTACCTCTCTCATCTCTTGGGTGATGGTGTTCAGACGTTCGTTCTCAGACTGGGTATTGGTGAGGATGTTGCGTGTCTGGCGGAGCTCATTCTGCAGCTCCAGGACCCTCTGCTCGTAGTAGGCCTCCTTACAGGCCGACTCCTGGATAAGAGACTCCTCACGGCTCTCCCCATCCGCTGCCACCTTTCTGTGGTTGGAGTAGGCTTGTCCAAAGGCCTGGAAATACAATAAAGGAGGGAAAGAGCTGTTGGTTAGATGCTATTGTGCTAAGAATTATGGGAGGATGTGTTGTTTATTCATTGTTAATACTATTTAGCAGCATTAACTAGCTACTAAAATGTTTACTATTGGGATTGCAACTGACAAAAAGTAAGCTTTGTTATTCAGCCACTGTAAAGTGACATTAATCTTTAATACTGTGGTTCAGCTGGGGACTGGGCCTCAAAAACCTCCCAAAATACTGCAGTCACCCCGTAGGGATAATCAGTTAGGCTCCATCTGGGCTGCATCATCTCGTCTTCCCCCTCGTTCCCCCTTCTCTCCCTCCCCTACCCGCAGGATGTTGGCCTCCCCTGCACGTGCTCGGCAGTGACTCCACAGATGGGAAAACCAAACAGGAAAAGTAGAGCAAATGGACTAGTGTCTGGGTGATCACGAGAAGCCTGTATGCTAATGCTCTTAATACCTTAGGAGATCATAGCAGAGTACATTATTAGATTTTTACGGATTTCCTGAGGGGGATGAAGTTTATGAAGATTAAATAACTATGGAAGACATATAGGCGAAGGCTTTTACCTTCTGTAGGGGGATATTCTCTTTTGAAAAGGCTGAGAAGGGTAACGTAGTTTGACTGTGCAATATCAAAGACTGTTTCATTATTATTAGTGTTGCCTTAATCTTGACCTTAATTTGTTAATGGCCTGCAAGGCAGCAAAATATAAACAGAGAGAGAGAGAGAGAGATCCTTAACTGCAGCAGAATCTAGGTTAGGCTACTCTCTCCCTCCTCAAAATAATCACCCCCTTGATTACAGACTTCATTTCCAATCGTGTAACCACCAGCAATCTGATGGAAATTGTGATTCTCATCTCGCCTCACAGTTTGAGCGCAAGCAGTAATCTGAAATCACCTGAGGCACTGAATCTGACCTTGTTTGCAGCTGCAGCGCACTCTCCCTTCTCTCTGACCTGCTACCCCCTTACATCTGCACGTGACTCGCTGCTGCAGGATTTTCTCTGTTTGACTGCGTATCATATTAATCCCAGTAATTCCTTTAGAGAAAGGGAAAAGCTGGAAATTTGTATTAGTCGAACTGGCCTACTTTCGGGACTTGGATGAATATGTGAATGTATAAAACTCGTTTAATAGGTTACAGGAGCGGGTGACATCATGTCTCGTGCAGGGTGGCTAGAATACCTCTCATATTCCAGGAAAGATGGCGGTGCAAACTCGGAGATAGAAAAGATGAACAGATAAACTCTCATACTGAGGCACGATATGCTGTTTTTAGAAGCACCAGCAGTTTAAAATGGTGCTAACTTTGTCAGTAACACGAGGAACCTCAGATGTTCTTTCGGCAAACCTCATTACAAACAGAGGAATTTAACTGAAGAATGTCACAAGACTTTTTCACTTTTACAGATGAACTGATATCTGCCAACGTTTTCAAACCAGTTACAGTAGATCAAATGCCAACTGAGCCAACACACTAGAGTTGAAATTAACTGATTAATCCATTTGTTGATGATTGATTAAAATATGATGTTATATTCAAGTAAAAATGCCAAATATTGCACAGTTTCAGCCACTTAAATGTGAGGATTTGCTGTTGTTCTTTATTGTATATGATAGTAAATGTAATATTTTTGGGTTTTAAACTAAAAAACAAGCAATCAGAGGTTTCATTTAAGGAAACTGTGATGGACATTTTACACAATTTTCTGACATCTCATGGAAGCAGTAGATTAATTGATAATGAAAACACACGTTGACTAGACAACCTGCATTTAGTATAGTGCTACACAACATACAGATCATCTTCATTATAAGACAAAAAGCTAGTAATCATAGTACCTTAACCAAGTTCGGTAGCTTCAGTAATCTTATAACCAAGGATCACATGGCTGTTTATTGACGTCCAATGTATCAGTCAATAAACAGTAACGGTTAGTAATTCAAATAAGTCTCCTCCTATCTTCACCACCACCTCCCTCCTCACACCATCAACTAGCAGGTGACTGTATTTGATTATAAAGTCATAACAAGAGACAGGATTAAACCAATCAGAAACCAGGGGAATCCCATCATTATAATCTTGGTGCATGGTGGAGGAGACTCCAATCAATCCAATCTAAGAGGTCTGTCCTTCAAACCTAGAGCCCCCTACCCAAAACCTACTGACCCAAGGCCTGTAATCTCTACTTTTAGGGGAGGGTAAATTGGTAACGCACGCGACCAAGCTTATAATCCCACATTGAGCTGCCCGCCCAATTTATAATTCATCTTTAGTTTGCCATATGTTGGATTTTTTTTATATTTTTTTTTTAAAGTGGATATGTGAACATGGATTATTAATCTCTTGTAAAGCTAATCAAGGGGGGAGGGGGTGTTTAGTCAGTAGCATGCTGTATGGACTGGATTCTTATGTAGTATGACACTACATAAGAAAAATCAATCATTTAAGAGATGTATTCCTCTACAGAACCGAATGTCTCATTCCAGATGAGTGCATACATTTCAAGCTGAGGTTAGACACCCTGCTGGGCTAGTCTTTATACCTTGGCTGCAACAAGGAGATCAGAGTGCATAATCAGTGATCAAAAGCACCATGTGATTGAGGAGTTCATAAAATAAGACGAGTCACCTCTGATCTTAGTTCTTTTTTCCGGAGCTGTCAGAATTATTTACTTCCCCATTGCCCACGCCGTAACAGCAGATCTGACTACCATAGTCATAAGATTAGCACATGGAAATAAGGTATAAATAAAGACTCTTGTGTGGGTGCATGAATGCAGACTAATTTAGGGAAGGACCCTGTTGCTATGCTTTCGATTGTTGTTTTAGGTGAAGTCTATATCAAAACACCGGTCTCTCTGGTAATAAGGTTTATTTTACACCCTGGTTGTTAGACTCAATCGACTATCTGTAATGTTATATTTCAGCAAAACAAATGTTGCTACAACAGTGTGTCTCTTTAATAAAAGACTGCTTATGTGTTTTTGTTCAAAGCGCGTTGGAACAGGGTGTAATCGCTGCGTTGTCTAACACAAAGTGCACTGATTAGAAGGTGAGACAAATCAGCAGTCAATCACACCTTTTGATCTCCGTTCAGTAATAGAAGGGAAATAAAACACTGGGTTCTGTAGGCTACAGCCCCGCTGCTAATGTTCTACACCTTTTATTGTATAGGAAGTTCAAGAAGGGAGAATTTAGGTCACAGAGTTCACTCAGCTCAGAATCCTCCTGCGCACACTACTCTGATCCGGTGAGTCAAGAGCACGAGGGAGATGGGCTTTAGGTTTCTGGCAGGGAACAAATAGATCAATACTGCCAGTCTCAGAAGCCCTGTGGAGCTGAAGTAAACCAAATCATAAATTATATTTTCAGTTTCTGTCTTGCTGGCAGAGAACAGTGATTCTGTGGGGTGAAGTCAGAATAGTAAGTAGGTAAAGATATATACAAAGATATGGTTACTGCTGACCCACTGGAGTAGAGAATAAAACCAATGGGTACATTCAAGTCAATACACACAGGCCTTACTTCAGTGAGTGAGTCATTTTGAAAGCCTGCCTTAGGACCAAAAGCCAATTAGAAAAGTCACTGGATTTGGATCTGATTCTTCTATCTCTGGTCCAGCTATAATCATCTCATTGTTAGTTTCCATTTAGCCCCCTGTGGTCTTACAGCCTGGATCTAATGGGAAAGCAAAGCTTGCTGAACAAAGACCTGGAGGAGAGGCAGACATAAATGGAGAAATGGAAACAGGATAAGACAGAGAGGAGTCATTCAGCTTCTTTGTTGCTGAGCCAGACTGAAAGGAGCTGAACACTCCATCCGTGGAATCGGCTTAGAGAAAAAGTTAGCCTTATCCTGGCACTAAACATTGTAGTGAGTGAAAAGCAAAAAAATAATAATACTAATAAAAAAAAATAAAAAAAAATAAAGCCAACACAACTCTAATCTAGTGAGAATATTTTTGGAGAACATTTTAGGGTGTGGGGGATTAAAATCTTACAGAACAGAATAAAAAAAGACAGCAAAATGGCTTCCCTTATCCAAATACTGATTTTGAGGCATAATGCTGACATGATAATCTCACTAGATGATGCCAGACAGGGCACAGCAGGACATGCCTACTGTGCAATACCAGACAACACAACCTCAAGATGCAGCAGTGCGATATGAGAATGAATTTGGCAAGACTTGTGGACCAGAGTGGGCTGATGATGAGCTGAGATTTTCCAGTCTCTTCAGCAGCATTCTTGTGCTATGACAAAGACGCTGCTGTGACGAATGCTGCACAATATAACGCTATGTAATCTAGATCAGTTTAGTTACTCATACAGATGGCCGGAGTGTTGGGGTTGACCCTGGATGCCAAAGCAGTGTTTCAGCAAACACTGAGGGATGGTCAGTGTTAGTTACTGTGGGCGACTGCGGAGGAAGAGAGGTGGAGCGGGAAGAAAGAAAAAAACCCACTGAATGGATTCGCCTGCCTCGTGAATCACAGCTCACGTGGAGTCACAGTTTGTGATGATAAACAGAGGCATGCTCTCTTTCTCCCTTTCCATCTCCAGTCACAGGCCACTCCACAGCCAGCGACTTCGAGGGGAACGATTGCTTCGAGGTGTGTGTTGATGCTATATTTAGCTGTCCACTATCAACTGTTCACGATACAGATCTCTTGGGGGCACGAGGTTAAAAGGCATTTGGCGAACCAGTGGCTTCCTGCAACACATAAGTATGAACTAGATCTGCAGCATGACCCTATTCCACACTAAAAAGCCTAAAAATACTTCACTTAATTCATTTCTCCAGGACATACTACATCACGTTGTTATTTCTGTGTCAACAGGCTGTATGACATGGTTCTGCGAGGAATTTTAATCATGTCACGTGGCAGTTTGTTTTAGTTAACTCAATATACTCAGAGCACTGTTGCTGATTAATGCATGTCATGCCAAAACCAATGACACTTGCTATAATGAGTAACAGAG